AACTTTCGAAAAGAATTCCCAATACGTGCTGATTCCCGGGAAGTGGAACGAGAAATTCGAGGCGAAGCATGTCTACTAAGGCAACTTTGCAAACGAAAAATACTGCCCTTTAGCATTATTAATAGGTGTCAGCCAGAGTGAGAGGAAACTTTCCTAAAAGTGAACATTTGGATCACCAGCCAGTAACCGATGTCCATAGTTCTGATAACAGCTACGAGGAGAGGGCAACCGCTCGCCAAGCAGCTGCAAGTGCTGAATAAGTGAAGAACGTTCGAAAACATTTCTGCGCATTGGGCGGTCTGAACCATATTCCCAGACCTTTAGAAGATCTAAGGAAGAGAGGCACCATTCAAGGGGAGGAGCTCCATTCATCTCGGCTCGAACTGTTTGGGAAACTGGCTAGTTAAAGAAATCTGCACTCTGTATATGAGAAGAACTGTCGGCAAAATGTTTTGGTACATCGGGCGATTTGAACATATTCCCAGGCCTTTAGAGAATGCCGAGGAGAGAGGCTCCGTTCGTCTCGGTTCAAAACCTTTGCGAAACTGGCTAGTTTAAGAAATCTGCACGCTAATTTACATAAAGTGAATTATGCAAGATTTGCTGGCGCTTAAGTGGAGCGTGATGAGCGCTGCGACAAACGCCGCGAACGATGGACCGGCTTTTTGCCCGTATATGCAGGGGTGCTGAGTGCCTGCGGCGAACACCATGCCTGATCCCAGCTTGACGCTGAAGCAATCACTACATGATGTCGAATGAGTTTCTCTGCGAAAATCCAATCCGATCACTCGAAGATATCACGGAACGTCGTCCTCGTGACAAGTGAACATGAATTTCGGTCCAATCAAATGATAGATGTTTGCCGTCACCAAGCTGCCGATTTATCATAAACTACGGATAGTTGGTGATTGAAAGTGTGACGGAGGCTTGCGGAAACAAATCCCGAGTAGGATGGGGACTGTAAGATGCGTTAACAGTCATCCTGAAAAAATAACTCACCTCTTTGACTCCATCCAGAACTAGAGGTGGTTCTACCAAACTGCTGCTCAAAACCTTGATATTCTCCGAGATATAATTATTTCATTAATAGAGTTGGTACTGACTAGGAAATATATGCTGATATATACCATCCCCAGCAATGAAATCAAAACTATTAGAAAACTCATGGCCAGGCCGTACACAGAAGCCAAATGTGATTCCTGCAATTTTCTTCTAAACGAGAGAATTCGCCAATGTTATCACTTGGAATGGACTTTGATAACCTGAGAACTGGTAGTGAGGCATGGCTCAGTGGCTAGTGCGCTATTCTGTAGTTCAGAAAGCGGAAGGTTCGACTCCTCAATCCGACCGCTCTTTTTGCAGACACTCTAAAACTTGCAGTATGTCTGTTCTGTGACTTAAATATATAGTAAGATCTACAGCACAAAGTATTAGATGTGGCAAAGAGAAACGAACTTTGGCGAATGAATGTGATCACCCGGAACCTTAAATGCAGCATACGCGAAAAACAAGGTTGGTGGGATCTACACAGTACAGTAGAGGGACTTCAGATGAAGAGGGCTTTGAATGTCGGAACCACCATTACCTGCGCTGAGCCGAGAAAAACACACCAATCCATTAAGGGCTTTGATGTCATATAACGACAGGTTACTTACACCTGATTTTCGGAGTACAAATGTAGCACCTACATCGCAAGCTTTAATGTCTGCAAAAAAGCTGCTTCAGAGAGGAATCGAAACTTTCGGGGCTTCTGCGGTAGGTCATATATAGTTTAGTAAAAGGAAATTCACAGAGATTCTGTTTGTTTAAAAGTAAGTTAGAGTTTCAGGTTTATTTTCTGAAGAAAGTGCCCAGCAAACACGCTGAGAACGCGTTCTGCTTTCGACGAAAGTGCAACATGCAGCTCAGCTAGAAATTTCCAAATACATTTGTTTTGTCCGAGAATGGCTCTCCAGATGTTCAAATGAATGCAGCGAAGCTTCTTGGAATGGGTTGTACATTTCGGCTAGTGCACTCGCTGAAGAATAGTATTTTTTCATTGTAGAAAAATCGAGTACTGTTCAGCACTCTCGCGATGGTGTACGGTATCGCTTTCCGGTGGAGAACACATGAAGAAAGACAGCTCTTTCTCGGAAAATTTTGTCAAGCGCGACAGATCTCTGGGTCGGAATCTAACAACTAAACCTCCTTTAAGTCCATTCCGTCGTTCAGCTTAAATCAGCCTCTGATTTATCAACTACATGTTGGAATCAGTGCATTTTGGCGTAACTTAAGATCAGCGAAGCTCAACTTAAACCAAGTTTGCCTTAGAGCACAAAATGGGGAATTCCGGCGCTGGAAATGTTCCACCATATTTTCTCGGATGTCCTCGAAGGTTAGCTTTCTTGCGCAAAATTTGTTCTAAAACCGCAGAAGAAGCAAAATTTTTTAAGGTGAGTGCAGTATTTTAGAGCTTCAAGCATTTTCATGGCGAGTGAATTGGCATCCTATATGATCCTTTCATGCGTTTCTTACCAGACCTCCTTTCGAAGGCTAGCGGTGGACCCCGGA